CCGAAAAAAAAAAAAAAAAACAAATAAACGAAACAAAATAAAAAGAGCAACAACTACAACAGAAACAATAATTCTCAGGGTCCCTTGTCATTCACCATTCAATTCTTCACTGTTTCAGCTCTGGTTTATGGCGGGAAGAAAACCGATTCGCATTGTTCTCCTTCACATGGCAAAACATAAAAAAATCGCAGAAGACGAGAGAGGGGTTTGCAATTGAAGGGTTTGTGAGCGATTGTACGTATACGGGATTGATTAAGATGGGTTTATTCAACAGAATTTTATCGAATTAAAGCCAAATAAATGGGACTGTAAATCAAGAAAAGAAGACGAAAAGGTGCAGCAATTTGTCTGTACCCATCTCCCTGCTTTTTTTCAGTTATTTGCAGAGAGATGACGAAAGAACAAAACAAACCCAGCTTTCATCTTCCTCCCTCAGTCCTCGACCCCCTCTCTCCTCTCTCTCTCTCTCTCTCTCTCGCTCTCTCTCCCTCTCTCTTTCTCTCTACATATATATGCAGAGTGTATGTATAGGTCTGGATTTCTGCTTTATTTTTTTTCCTTTTTTTCTGAAAAAATAAAATAAAAAAAAAAAACCACAAAAATGTCGCAGCAGAAAAGACGAGGACGCGACGAAAGGAAGGGGGAAGTAAAATAGACGGCTCAACTAAGAAATACATGCGTTTGAACAGAGACGTGACGACGTCGTTTGGTAGGATTTATGGGCCTTACTGTGTCGTTTTGGTTGATGTGCTTTGTTATTCATCTTTTTCGACTCGGTTACATTTTCTGGATTTTGCAATTAATACTCTAGGGAAATGCTGAGCTCCGATATAAAACTATTTCGTCGAGATTTATAATCGTTATATCAACTATTTTTGAACAGTTACATGATAATCTAATAGTTACAAACCAGACGTAATGGTTCCGGAGCATCTTCCCTTACTTTAAAGCCATGAGAATTTCAATAATTATTAAATTAATTAATTATATAAAAATGAAACTGATTTTATTTTATTTTAATAATTATTGGGTGAATTATCACTCGAGCCATGCTATAAGTACATACTATTGTACATATGGACATACATAACACTCACATCGAGTGGGGCCCATTAAAAAAAAATCAAATAGACCTCACTCTATGACTGTTGTGCATCTCTATGTACATTTATTTTTCCTTCTCACAATATGTTGATGAATAATCTAAAGTCAAAATATCTATTTTTACCCCGTTTTGAAGTCTTTTTAAGTTTTTCACACCGTCAAATAAAAAACTAAATTTTTCACCCCAAAAAGTGCGAAGGTTATGCGAAAACTGTCGCATATTCATCGCATAATTGTCCATATGCGAAAGATATGCGAAAAACTGTCGCATAACTATCGCATATCAATTGCATAATTGTGCAAAGGTATTGTGCGATAAATATACGACAGTTATGCAATTGATATGCGACATTTATGCGAAAAAATGTCGCATAACTGTCGCATATTAATTGCATAATTGTGCGAAGTCATTGTGCGATGAATATACGACAGTTATGCAACTAATATGCGACAGTTATGCGACAATTTTTTGCATAACCTTCGCACTTTCTGAAGTGAAAAACTTAGCTTTTTATTGAGCGGGGTGAAAAATTTAATATGTTTTTGTTATGGAGTAAAAAAGATTTTTTTTCCTCATCTAAATATACTCAGTCCTCACGAATAATTTCTCAGAAAAAAAAAAATAAAAAAAGGCACGGAATTATAGACAGTATATTCATTATTTTATATTTTACTTTCTACATCATCATCATGATTGACGATTTTTAATTATTTTATTTAAAAATCTATATTAAAGATTGTATTATGATGTTGTTAAAAGTGACAGTTGATGATATAGGCCAGATTCTTGACATAGGGAATAATATTATCACAATATTTTTTGTAAAGTGTAGATTAATTGTTATAATAATATTTTATTTTTTTAATAACCTATTGTAATTATGTGCTCATCCCATGATTAAGATAATGACTTTTTTAAATGAATCACGAAATTATTATTATTAGTCGGTTCCCCTGTGGATCCGGAAACCGGAAGGTCCCTGTACCCAAAAAAAAAAAAATTATTATTATTTCCCAAAAAAGGCGGCTAATGTAAAAAACTATGAAAATGAAATTTTGCAATTTGCAGGTTCCCGAAGAATTGGTGGGGATGTCTCTTAATTAACTGAGATTATGTGGATATAAATAGTGAGAAAATTGCAATTATTTTGATTAAAAAAAATCATTATGTAAATCTCGTTAATTAATTTTTTTTTTTTTTTACTTTTGTAAATTAAATTGTCTTTTATTTTTAGAACAAGACTACAGAGTGAGTAAAACAGGGGCGAAACCGAAAAACCGAGTCCAGCTGTGCAATTCGGTGCGGTGCGGTGCGGTTTTTGGTTTTTTTTTAATGTAAAAAAATTTTGAGGTTTCGGTTCGATTTGTTTCTACATTGCGGTGCGGTGCGGTGCGGTTGTAATTTATCATAAGTTTGGTTTTCGATTTTGCACCGAACGACTCAAATTGCATAAAATGTAAAGAAAAAACGATACAAAACCAAAAACCGAACGGAACTGTGCATTTCGGGGTGCGCTGCGATTCGGTTATTTTAGTGTAAAAATAAAAAATTACATAAGATTATGTGTTCGAGATTTACCGAGTCAAGGTCACAAACAACTCCATATCTAATCATCTTATAAAATCTGGAAAAGTAATTTTTTTTTCCCCCCTACCTTTTTACAAGTTGGTAAAAGAATGAAAAAGAAAGTGAAAAGTTAAGATTTGAAAGATCTTTGATATGATGTAATATAATCCCATGGATTGAAAATGGAAGAAATAGTTAATTTTTTAATATTTCGGTACTATATTTTAATTATTTATGCAGTACCTTGTATATGCTAAAATGGAATATTCACTCGTTATCATAGTCAATGTCTAGAACACTTAAGTACGGTAAATTCGATCCTACCCCTAGGGCACTGCAGTCAGCCCCTAGGGGCCCTTAATTTACACATAAACACACACACACCTACATGGGTGTGTGTGAAATCAAGGGTGGTGGGGGCATGACTGCACTGCCCCCACCTGTAGGATCGAATTTTCCCTTAAGTACTAGGTGTTCCACTTATTTAATTTATTATCAAAGGACAATCTAGTCCACATAATATATTTTTATTCTCGTATATATAATTTTTGAATGTACTGAGTTTAAATGTCATACTCATATGTTTGGAGATCCTACTTGTCATAATTGTATATTTTGAATTGATACATAATTAGGTTCGGTGTCATGTCAATTATTGATTGGACATAATTATTTCCACAATGCATAGTCAATATAATACTTTTCTTTTTATTTTATTTTATTTATATTACGTATCTCCGCTTAGATAAATCGTATTAGTTTGTTTCCCAATTTTTCTCTCTAATATTCACGTACAACTAATTTTTAAGATGAAATAATATGATATTATTCTTTTAAAAATGATATTTGCTTAAAATTTAATTGGTAGATGTCAATCTAATAAAAATGAATAAATAATTATCCAAAATCTAAAATTACATATGTAAAGTTTAAAAGATATAGTTTGACATTCAATTTAAGCAAAAATTATTTTAGTTTAAAAAAATAAAATAAAAGTTTAATATTTTTATATATGCTTCTTAATTCATCGCTCATATAATATACGGAATTGCACTAGTTTGTAGTAATTGCAAAAAATTCCAAAATCATTTTTTACATATAAGAGTTGTTTAAACGGTGTTTTTTGACTAGTTAAAATTGACTAGCACGAAATTTGTAAAGTTAAAAAATTCAAAAATGAAGGGTACGCGTCTATTTATAGGAGTAAAAAAATTTTTAACGGATCGACGCCATGTTCTAAAAAACAACCGTATGAAAAAATGGCGGGTCCCGTCGACAGTTTCTGAAGAAGCACGACCGACGGCTGGATTATTGTCAAGTCTTCACAAAAATTGAACCGACGCGTCTTTTGAGGAACGGGCAAGTTTATAAATGGAAAACTCTTCGGATGAATCATTGAATATATAGGGAAACGCCTCTTTTCGATATTCGCACAAGTGGATGGGGCGGTTCGGAGTATCCAAAATGATGACCTCATAAGGAGCGACCGACATTGCTACTTCCGAGCTCGAGGGCCTGTATGTTGACGCTCGAGCTGAGCTGAAATGATTCAAGGTTAAATAATTTTGTCTAAGTTTATAACTCGCCAGGTCAGGTACTCGAGTCGAAAGACCGCGAAGGAATGACGAGCCATAGGAATAAGAGCATGCAAATGCCGAGCTTGGCTTGAAAGAAGCGACTTAAAAGAATAGTTGGTCGTGGGATCGACCAGTCAAAAAACATCATGACGAAGCCGAATGATTTGGACAGGTAGACCAGAGACTTAGGGCCTTAGGTCGATGTATTCCCAAGTCGAAGTGGGGCGTCGTCGATTCAAGAAGCAGTGACAGGTCGAACTCGGGCTCTCAAATGATCCGGGTTTGCTCAACCTGAAAGTGCGATTGGTCGTACGATCGACCAAATGAATAGACTACAAAAGCTAGTATGATCAGATCGTTTAATAAGAAACCCGACCAGAAGACTATTACGCGCAAAGACTCGAAACGATCACGCTATGGCTTAAGAATTTTTTAATGATAACAACTTGCGCTTGCATGACGGGACAAGCCTAACAAAAAGTCTACCCGTTTACACGGTAAAACTCTATAGGATCATGTGCAACATTTAATGCCTGTCTTTTTCATTTAATACTCAATTATACTGCCCGAGGAACAGTACCTGAGCCATATTTACTATAATTAGTCCTATGAATCCTTGAAGAAGGGTTCAGAAAATTCCTATAAAAAATACATATATTTTTTCAATAAATACTGCATTAAATAGTGGATATCCAATCTCATTGCCCAGTATATCAAAAAAAAAAATAATAATAATAATAATAATAATAATAATAATAATAATAATCCTATATAATAATAATGAAATAAATTGTATTTTGTATCAATCAGTAGTGTTGTGACTTGTGGCCTGTCATTGGTAGAAAGGGTCTAACCTAAATGATAGTGGATATTATTAATTTTGAATGATTTATTTTTATTAGTTATTAATTAAAAAAATAATACAACAATATGATTATTTTCACTATAAAATTATTTTTTTGTTCGAAGATATAAAATTGATTTAAACAACTGTATATTTGGTGGATTCACACAAGTTATGAAAATATGTGGTATGAGTTTCACTACCCAAAAGAAAAGGTTAAAATTGGATTACCTATACACACATGGATGTATAATGACCTAACGGTAAAAAGTACTAAACAAACAATTAGGGTAGAAATTATCAAAAAGGTAGTTCAAATTTACTCACCAAAAACAAAAAATGTACTGTTGTTTTCATTAACAACCAACAAAGTTTGGGGAGGCAAAAAATATAGAGATAGAATGTTTCGATAAGGAGCTCGATTCAACTCATCTTGTTACGAATAACAAAAACTCAATTTAGTTCGACTCATTTAATAAACATAAAATGTTAAACGAATTGAACTAGACACGAAATATCTGTCCATGTACAAGTTTGATTTGATTGTTTGTTAAAATCCATAAACAAAATGAAAAAAAAAAAAAAAAAGTTATTGATCCTACACAAGCTCGGTATAATTATTTTATTAGAATTTCTCTAGTGTTCGCGCTATCTATGGGGGAGGAACGCAACTCTAGCACAGATATGCGAATACGGTTGCGCCAGATGTGGCGCAACATTGTAGCCGCACTACATATTTTCTTTTTAATGTAATATAAATAATAAATTTGTATAATGTGTATTAAAAATGTATTTTATGCTAGATAACTTTGTACAATGTATTTGTTATGCTAAATAATTTTGTACTTTTTATTTATTGATGTATTGTAATTCCATTTTGTATATTTTTTAATATTAAAATGGTACCATATGAATAAAAGTTAACACATTCTAACAAGTAGATTTCACTAAAATTAAAAGTTTACAACAAACATAAATCATAAAATATTCAAATAAAAACAACATGATATTAAAAGACCAAAAGTTTTATAATAAATATGTTAGAATAATGGAGTAGTGGGGCGGTGCATCTCTCCCACATGCCACCGCCCATTTGTCCACTTTGCAGCTGTATTATTTTAAAAAAAAATAAAAATAAAAACTCATTATCTACCCTATAAATAGCCCTTTCGGGCAGAAGGAAAGAAATACACAAAAAGAAGAA